AAGCAAGCAGTAAACTACCTGTCAGTCGAGCAAAAACAGCCCCAAATATACTGTTTCCTTTTTAATGTTTTAATATCTTCATTTTGAAAACCACAAGGACATCTTGGCACGTTATCATTATCATAAGGTTCACCAAAACACATTACAACCCTTCATGAAAGCAGGATTTATTGCAGGACTTTTTTTTTACAAGACTTTAACATCTGCACTCACATCTGTACACGTATGTATTATTACATTACATGTTTTATCCAAAGCGACTTACATACTCAATACTGTGGACAATCCCCACAGGAGCAATTTGGGGTGAAGTGTCTCAGGGACACAACGACATGCTGACTGCAGTGGGGTTTGAACCTGTGCTCCCCTGATCCCAACACCTACGCACTAACCCACTGCGCCACAGCCTACCCAAATATATTTAAATATCCAAATATGTATAAATGTCGATTCAAATGATAAACGTTTTACGGTAATATATATAACAGTTACTTTATCACCTTATCACTTTATTTTGAATTTTTGTATTATTATTACAATTTTATTCTAATTTATCTTTAATTTGTACCTTTTTGTGAATCCTGTTTTTAAATAAAGTGCCATCTTATCTCCTCTTATCTTATCTTAGTATACTGCATTGGTTTAAGATTGACCTTATAACGACTGGGAGGGAAATTGGTTGGTTGATTTTCTTGTTTGTTAATATTTATGTTATTTTTGTTTTGCTCTAATCATCAAATGGTCCATGTTATCCCGAAAAAGAGCACTTTAAAAAACAACTACTGATCATCAATGAAGCTTCAATTCATCCCCTCCATTCATACTGATTCATACTTTTCTCGACGAGTGAAGCAAAAGGAATCAATGATAATTATTATAACCAAATCTGTTCCAAATCTGTTCCAATAATACTTCAGATTTGATATCTATAGTCTAATAAAACATTAAATACTGATTGATGTAAAACATTAGTTTAAGGTTGCTCATTGATGATCACTGTTATGTCTGTAGCCTGAATTATTGATGAGTTTCAGCTTCTGTGACGTCATTCAATGAAACATTAATGGAGGGAAGTCAAACCGTCCGTCATCATCGTTATTGATTTACTTACACAAGGGCAGTCAGATGGCTTCAGAGAAAATATTATATACAGTACATATATCCAATCTCCCTGCCACTACAGGA